AAAAAAATGAAACACATTATGCGTTGGGTCCCAAAAAGGTATCAAAGCCTCAGTCACATCCAACCTCGGTTTGATTTTCAGAAGACCAACAAGACCGCCCAAAACTTTTACCACAGTATCTCTGCTGACTTTTCCTAAGTCATTCCACCACATGTGGAGTCCTAATGGGATTTCTTCAAGGATTGTGAAGGGTTCATTTTCAATTGTGCTCATCCTACACATTTATTAGAGTGATTGGTTAAAAGATCATGATTTATTTTGACTTGACAGAAAATTATCAGTTTTCAAAAGTTTTTCATTTCAAAACAAGGAACGCCTTTTGCAAATACGACCCTTTAGCACCTCAGGGAAGAAGATTTTAGGGCTGTGTTTGCTAACTGGCCAAAATTTGGAAAAGGAACCAAAGGTGGCTATTTTTGTGAAAGCAACCTTCCGGCGTCCTTTTGGGAACGTTTTAGCTATTTAGACAAGAACGACATCACCTAAATTATTTATGACAAAACAACAATTTTTTTTGTTATTTTTGCAAAAATAGAGTTGCACCCGGTGAGCGTTGCCTACGTATTCCACATCCGGTGAGAATCAACTTGTGTAGTTCAGGCAGTTTTGACATAATAAAAACAATACCAAATATTTTTCTTGAAACAAATTTTTCTTTCTTTTTTTTTTCAAAATTTTGGTAGAGTTTAGGTACTTTTTTGGATACCGGGTTTTTCAAAGACAGGTAATTATCTCTCTCAGCCTTCAAATTGAGTTTTCTCTTTCCAACTTTTCTCCATCATTCAATGCCAGTCAACATGCAATCCGAAGTAAATAAATGCACAAGTAGCAAAAAGAATGCATCAGGATGGTCTTTTCATTTCGGGTACACCTGTCCTAGACAGACCCAACCCCTGTGTTGAGTCTCCAAAGTCAAATGCATGTGATGCAAACAAGCGTTCCTACTAGGGATCCGGTATGAGGCTTTGTTATACTAGGTTTAAAAACTTGGGTGTATTGTTCCAAACCTGGCTTGCCCAAGCGGACATGGGCAGCGTACCGGGAATACAAAAGCTTCACCGGCTTTGCAACTTGTCCGAACCTCGTTCAAAAAATTGTGATATGACTCTAACAGAAAAGAAGTTACACGAAGTGTACACTTCCTAGATGATTTAGAAGACTCAGAGAGAAAAGAGTTTCGTAGCAATTTATATACAGTCCAAACAATATCAAAGCAGTAAAAAGCGGCAATTAGCACATTAGGCTCAACATGTAAAAATCATATACAAACAAGCCAACTATAACAGTTATTCTAAGCTCGAATTCTTGAACCCTGAACCAAAGTTCAGGGTTTGGATCCCCAGCAAAGTCGCCAGAGCTGTCACACCTCTTTTTTTTACACCTCGAGAGGGTATATGGAGTTTTTCCAATTAAAATGACATAAATCGAAATAGGATTAGTTAATTTATTAGAGTCGCCACTTGGAATAGTTTATTTGGTGTTCCAAGTCACCGGTTTATTTTAAAATCCCAAATCGAGAAAATTTCGACTTTATTTAAAAGACTGCGAACCAGAAATTCTAAGTAAGGAATTTTGTTAACCCGGGAGAAGGTGGTAGGCATTCCCGGGTTCCGTGGTTCTAGCACGGTCGCTTAAACTATTAAAATTGGCCTATTATCCGATTTATTACATGTTTTAAACCTAATGTGCATTTGTAACTTTATAACCGCTTTTAATTAATTTAAACTGCTTTTAGGAAGATTCAACGTTATTTAAAACATGCCTTGAACTACGCTACATGAAATGCACCCGCGGTTCGTGACACGTTCTATTTAACATTGTTGAGAATTGAAATTGTGTAACTTGAAATGTACACCCAAATTTAGTAATTAAAAATCACAACTACGTCACGGGAACCGTACCCATAGCTATGATGAATTATTTAAAGAATGCGCCTAAAGCAACTACAAAAGTTCAGATTAATAACAACATTTATGAGGGCCATGGAGAGTTTAATTGATGACACACCTCAATTTTTAAAAGGATTAAACTCTTGAATTAAATTTGTGAGGGCCATATATTATGGGTTTTAAGCATGACACACCTTAAATTGTTTTAAGAAAAGGGGTATATATTTTAAAGGCAATCTAAAGGTACTCTTATTTTTAATCTATTTTTAAAACTAGTTATCACAACTACGTCACGGGAACCGTACCCGTAGTTGTAATAATTTAATTGCGTGCCTAAAGCAAACTACGATATTCATGAATTATTTATTTCTAAGTTTGAGACTATTGCGAGGCCTAGAATTGAAATTAATTGGTTGATCTTAGAAAGTAAACCAAGCATGAAAATAATCAGTTTTCTAAATTACTTATGAAAGTTCACGAAATAAACCCAAAAAAGACTTCAAAACCTTGGCTCAATAGTGTCATACTAGAGTCTATTTACCCCCCAAATTAATCAAGAGAAACAAAACTATCCATTTACAGTTTCTGCATAACAAAATAAAAATAAGCAACTAAACATTCAAAGACGCTTTCCTCCATCTGAAGAACTCTTTTTATGTAATTTTCCTAGCCTAAAGTGTTTTAAACTCTATATATCCTTGTGGTACAACAAAATTATTGTTACACTAATATGTTTAAAAGGCCATATCAGAAAATGTTCAGGCATTCGGATGGTTCACTGTTTTAAGAACAGGAAATTTCTTTGTCCACAATGTATGCATATGAGCTTATTTTATTCGAAGGACATTAAATAAGAACATCTATGTACCTTTATCTGGAACTGCAGATTTTATGTGTCAAATTTCACTCATTTCTCCAAATAACACCCTTCAATTTTTCATAAGCCTCAACAATACTCAATTGAAAGGCCTAGCTTTTGATATAGCAATAAGGTGAAATACCACTTCAGTATCAAAACTTATATAAAAAATGGACCCATTTTCCTCTAGTTCACTACGCAACCCAACTAATAATCAGCTTAAAATTTTCGGCAACAATCCATCAATTACTACAAAAATATTCTCAAATCACAAACTAAGTAAGTCTTAAAATGAAACTAGTACAAGCCCACAAACATATGGACTTCATGAACAGAACAGATGTATAAAAAATGATTACAGAATCTGAATTAAAGAACAAGTGGAATGAATCTTTCTATCACAAAAACTATTTTTTGCATACTGCTTGTCAAACACTTTTAATCAAATGAAACACACACAGCTTAGTACCAACATGTGGGATTCGTAACCATTCTTTCATAGATAAGCTAAAGAACAACAATAATTTCATATCACAAACGCATCTGAGAACAATTTTATGAAGAACATACCTATGAGCAAAACAACTGAAAATAACAAATGAAATTCTAGGATGGGAGAAGAAATTTAGCAACAACAACAATAGCTCAGCAAATCAAACAACCAAATCCAAATCGCAACCAAAATTCGGACAGAAATCCACAGTGCCAAAACTCCAAACCCACTTCAATCCAAAACCATTCTTGAAAAACCAGAGATCGAAGAAAAATGCTGAGATTTATAATTATTTTTGATTTTTCTTTTGAAAGGAAGTAAAACTTGAATTGACGATCAACCTCAAAGTATACTTTTATATATTTTTTTCGCTTTTGAAAAGATGTCGATTAGAAAAGGAAAAGCCTTAAGAGAAGGAAAAAACTTCTAAACCCTAGCAATTTCACTACTAATTTTTTGAAAATTTTCCTTTTTTTTCCTTACCCTAGAAAAAGAAAACTTACCTCATATATATAACCCTCAAAGAATTTCGAAGCTTCTGCCCAAATATCCAAAAATCCTCACATTTTTGAACGATTTATGGGATAAATGGAAGGTATGGATCGATTTACATTCATCCACGGCTCCCATTCATCCAGCAAATCGTTCCATCGTACAGAAATCGTGAAATTTTGGAGAGAATATTCTTTCTTCTCTGACAGAAAACCGTTGGAATAAAGTGACATGGAGAGAAGGGGACCCATTTGAGTGAACTCGCCTGAGTTTCAGGCGAGTTGAGATCGGGCTTAGTGAGGAAGATGATGAATAGTACATTGGGGCGCCGTTTCTTTATTATTTAGGTCTAGGGTTTGGGTTTGGGTTTGGGAAATGATATAAGGATTTTATATATGGAGGGAGACGGGCGGGTCGGTGGAGCGGGGTTTGGTCCGGTTCTTCTTGGGCTGGGGCGGTAGAAAGGGTTATTTGGGCTGAGGGTTTAAGGGTGCAACCCAAGTGTGTTAGACCCCCTTTTAAAATCATTTTTCCCTTTTTCTTTTATTATATTTTAATCTCTTTTTTTAATTAAAAATTCAAATAATTAAAAATCCTAAATTATCTAAAATATGAAATTAAACTAGTTAACTAATAAAAATTATAAACATCACTTAATTTTAAATTTAAAGAGAAAATCAATAAACTAAAAATTAAAAGACAAAAATGTAAACATGAGCTATTTTTGTGATTTTCAAATTTTTATAAAGCAAATAATTACTGATTAGTTCTAAAAATTTAAAAACAAATCCTAAATGTAATGCATGATATTTTGGTATTTTTCATGATTTAAATAAAAATTAAGCATGCACAGAAATGCAAATAATTAAGAAAATTCTATAAAAACTCCTAAAATGGCAAATAATTAACAGAAAACCTATTTTCTTGGTATTTTATAGGAGTATTTCGTATAGGACAAAAATTACATGCTCACAAACACTAGGTAACTCCGCTGAACATGCACTCAAAGTATGCTGTCTTTGTCCTGATCAACTTGATACCTTTAGACTCAAAGGGTATGTCTCCAAACCTCCCGCCTCTCGTTAACACCATACCTACGTCTCATCAGTCAGAACTATGTAATCTACAAATAACTTATACCAGGGGACCTGTCCTTGGATGTGTCGCATAAATGCATCCATCGCCAAGGAAAATAAAAATGGGCTAAGTGTTGATACCTGATGTAACTCCAACTCAGCTGGAAAATACTTCATGTTTTCTCCTGCCATTAGGCTTCTATCACCCTCTCTCTAACTTTCATCGTATGGCTTAGCAACTTGATACACCCATAGTTGTTATAGTTTTGGATATCTCCCTTGTTATTATACAACGGAATCATCATACTCCTCATCCACTTCTCAAGCATCTTCATCATCCTAAAAATGACGTTAAACAACCCAAAGAGCCATTCCAAGTCTGCCTTACTCATGCTCTTCCAGAATTCAACAAGGATCTTGTCTGGCCTAGTCGCTCTAACCCTACTCATTCTGCGCATAGCCCCTTTGACCTCCCCCACTCTTATGCGTCTACAGTACCCAAAATCACGATGCCGTTCCGAGTACTCCAAATCACCCAACATAATGCTCCTATATCCCTCTTCATTCAAGAGTTTATGGAAGTAAGCTGCCATCTTCGCCTGATCTGTGCCTCGTCCAACAAAACTCTATCTTCCTCGTCTTTTATGCACCTTACTTGGTCCAGATCACGGGCCTTCCTTTTCCTCACTTTGGCCAGCCTGTACAACTTCTTGTCCCTACCTTTCTCTCCAAGCTCTTCATATAAATGACCAAACGCTGCGGTCTTACCTACAGTAACTGCTAACTTCACCTCCTTCTAAGCTTTCTTATACCATTCTCTATTTTCCACCTCGTCTATGCTATCTACAAACATCAAATACACAACTTTCTTAGCTTCCATTTTCCCTTGAACATCTTTGTTTCACCACCAATCCCCTTTATGGACATCAGAGAAACCTTTTAAGACCCCTAACACCTTTCTCGCCGCCTCTCTAATACAATTCGCTGTTATAGTCCACATACAACTCGCATCCCCACTACTTCCCTAGATCTCCATAGTACACAACTTCTCCCCTAACTCTTGAGCTTCTCCTTAGTCAATACACTCCACTTGATCCTAGGCAGGCCAGACGGAACCCTCTTTGAATAAAAAGTAACCTACAGCCTGACCATTTATAAGGATTGAATACAAATTATTAGACAGTATCCTCCATACCATGTTGATAAAGTGCCCAACAAACTCCCTTGTCCTTAACGCATGCATCATATATTTCCATTAAACCTTTTCATAAGCTTTAGCCATGTTAAACTTAATCACTACATTATCAGGTTTGCCTCTCAATCTAATATGAGAAGAATATTTTCAAATATACTGTAATGACCCGACCAGTCATTTTATGTATTGTAGCCTCATTCCTTTATTTATTGCTTATTCTATGTTCATTTGTGGTTATGTGACTTTTTGGGGTGGTTGTTTTGGTTTCGGGGATATTGGAGTGAGTTGGGACACTTAGTCCCAAGGTTGAAGGTTTAGGTTGGAAGAGTTGACCAAAATTTGACTTTTGCGTAAATGACTCTAGAATGGAGTTTTGATGGACCCGATAGCTTTGTATGGTGATTTTGGACAGACGTATGTCCGGATGTTGATTTGGAGGTCCGTAGGTTGGTTTGATGCTTTTGGTGAAAGCTGGAAAGTTGAAGGTTTTGAGAGGTTTGATATCGAGATAAGATTTTTGTTCCGGAAGTTGGAATAGGTCTGTTGTGTCATTTATGATTTGTGTGCAAAATTTTAGCTCATTCGGACTTGGTTTGATATGATTCGACATTAGTTTTAAAAGTTGGAAGTTCATTAGTTCATTAGTCTTGAATCAATATGCGATTCGTGGGTTCAGTGTTATTTGATGTGATTTGAGGCTTTGAGTGAGTTTGTATTGTGTTTTAGGACCCGTTGGAATGTTTGGACGGGGTCCCGAGGGCCTCAGGTGTATTCTGGATGGGTGTCAAACCATTTTTCCTTCATTTTGTACTGCTAATTTCTGGCATCCGGGTTTCCTCTTTTGCGATCGCAAAGAGAGGATGCAGTTGCGAAGAGTTGTTGCTGGTAGTGGTCATTTACTCTTCATGTTCACGGTAGTAAGCTCGCGTTCGCAAAGTTTTAAGTGGCTGAGGTCAACACAATCATGGGTATGGTAACGCATTCGCGTAGAGAAGAGGTCAGCTGTGGAGGAGGGATCAGGCGTTAGGATTACATAATCGCGTAGTGGCAGGGCAAGTGAGAATCTTGTTCGCGACTGTGTTTGCGCGTTCGGGTAGGCTATTTGAGGGTTGTGATTATTTTGTTCTTCGCGACCGCGATGTGGGTCGCTGGATCGCGATTCACAGTAACTAGGTAGATTGTTAAAAACCCAAATGGAGGGTTAGAGTTATTATATCACATTTTGAGTTGTAGAGCTCGATTTTGGGTGATTTTGGAGGGATTTTGACGTTTTCGATCGGGGTAAGTGTTTTTTGACTCGTATTTGTTGGTTAATCATGATTCTATTCTCATTTTTGTCATTTATTTGGTTAGTTGAAGTAGGGAAATTGGGAATTTTGTAGAAAGTTTTCAAAAATGAAAAATGGGGGTTTGAGGGTCGATTTGAGGTCAGAATTGGATGATTTTGGTATGGTTGGACTCATAATTGAATGAGTGTTCGTAATTTGTGAATTTTATCAATTTTTGAAGTGCGGCTCGAGGGTCGACTTTTTTGGGTTAACTTTTTGATTTTGGTTAAAGATCTTAGCTTTATCATTGGGAATCAATTCCTATTCCTTTTATTGATTATATTTAGTTGGTTTGGTTAGATTCGGATCGTTCGGATGACGATACGCGGAGAAGGGCTTATTAGAGGAGTGATTTTGATTGCTTGAGGTAAGTATCTTATCTAAACTTGGTTAAGACATTAGTTGGCTGAATTATTTATGATAACTAAGTGCTATGGGTGGTACATATGTGCGGGGTTAAGCCTATATGCATGCACCGCGGTACTATTTCCATGCTTGTGGTAGTGTTTAGGCTATGACATACCTTGAAATTATTGCTAAGCTTCAAGTTAAGATGCTTCTCTTATTTGTACCCCACTGTGAGCTATTTTGTACCATATTTGAGATTTCATTGAGGTTATTCTTTTGACTGAACCTGATAAACTGCTATTTCTTGATGAAAATTATCTATTCTAGATGTGATAGCACACATTGCATATGCCTACACTATAGCATATTATTTATACCAGTCCAGGAGTATGAAACTTGATAATCATTGATCATGTAGATGTATTCCTGCATATTTGTTTCCTCTGTGCTATGAGCTGGGATGGTAGCCTATGACCACGCCGGACGGATTATGATTATTGGCACATGAGTTGTCCGTGCAGCACATGAATTGTCTGTGCAGATCCAGTTATTGATATTATTAACACGTGAGTTGTCCGTGCAGCACGTGAGTTGTCCGTGCAGCACTGTGAGTTGTTCGTGCAACACGTGTGTTGTCAGTGCGGATGATTCTATTAGCACGTGAGTTGTTCGTGCAACATGTAGATATGGGCCCATCCTCCTAGGGTCACCCTTTCATGTTTTTCTCTTGATGGTGTACACACGGTTATTGAGGAAACTGATACATGGTTTGAAACGGATATGAAAGGTTGAGGAATGTCTGGCCAGTGTTGTTTTGGAATTGCATTTCATCCTTACTTACAATTTCCATGGTTTATTATCTAATTTATCTGCATATCATCTTATACGCTGTACCAGTGACTGGGTAGAGATTTTGAGTAATTGTACACACATATACAGATAGTCTTTTCAGTACATTACACATGATCACATTACTGTGTTGTACTTGTTGGATTTATGAAACTGTACTAGGTATAGTAAGTATTATTTATAATTCTTGTTTCTTTTACCTCACATAGGCTAGTTATGATACTTATTGAGTACATTAGGCCGATTGTACTCATACTACAATTCATCCTGGTGTGGGGATGAGTTATCAGTAGTAGATTTACTTAACGGACTAGGCTTCAGGAGGCGAGGTAGAGCTACATTCTTGGCCGCAGTTTTGACTTGTCTTTTCTTATGTACTGTTGTTTTAGTTCAGACAGTATTATTATTTAGTGCTGACTTGTATTCCGTTGTAGAGCTCATGACTCCGTATTTACCAGTCTCTAAGGTTTACCTTGTATTAGAAGTATTTGGTTATATTGAGATTTTAGCTTTTGCTATTTCTGTAAGTTCTGTTATTCTAGTTCTTTATTGTTATGTATCGCTTGCCTAGCTGGTGTGTTAGGTGCCATCTTGACGGATTGAAATTTTGGGTTGTGAAAATTTGGTATTAGAGCCCTAGGTTCATATTTATTACTAGTCGTGAGAAAATTTAGTAGAGTCTTGCAGATCTATATAGACATGTCTGTACTTATCTTCGAGAGGCTACCGAACTGTTAGGAAACTTCACTTCCTTATATTCTGGTCATGCAAATTTGTTTTTTTTTGAAATTTGAACTTGACTCTTCTATTTTCTCATACGTGGTGAGTGTACATGCGATCGAATTAGGCGGACATCTACTAGTACCACTAGTTAGGGCGGCGAGAAGCTGGAGCCACTGTAGAGGCTGAGGTGCGGCTCGTACTACACCCAGAGCAACACCTGTGGAGCCGCTAGTTGCTCCAGCTCAAGATTAGGTATTAGATGTGGTTGAGCAGATGGGTGGACCAGCTCTGGTACCAACAGTGCACATTGTGATTCCTGGCCTTTTGGAGGCCTTAACTCAGATTTCGACTGTGTGCACGAGCCTGGCTCAGGTAGTCTCAGTTCTAGCTACACCAGCCACTTCACAGGCCATAGGAGGTGCCCAGATTCCTACGTCCTGTACTCCAGAGAAGCTAGCTCAGGGTCACTAGACATCATGTGTATTGCTAGTTCAGCCGGTTGCTGCCGCTTAGGCGGAGGTTGGTCCCTATATGAGTGATGAGGAGCAGAAGAGATTGGAGCTGTTTGTGAGGCTTAATCCTCCAGAGTTTAGTGGAGCAGAGTTAGAGGATGCTCAAGAGTTTATAGACAGGTGTCAGTAGATTCTTTGCACCGCAGTTATCTTTGACACCAGTGGGGTTTCGTTCACTACTTTTCATCTAACAGGGGTAGCCTACCGATGGTGGTAGGCTTATGAGTTTAGCAAGCCAGTAGATGTAGTGCCACTTACATTGCATGAGTTCTCAGTTCTCTTCTTAGAGAAGTTTGTCCCACAAAATCGCAGAGAGGAGTTCCATAGGCAGTTTGAGCAGCTACACTAGAAGGGTATGGATGTGACTCAATATGAGATCAAGTTTTTAGAATTGCTCGTCATGTAGTATAGTTGTTTTCTGTTGAGAGGGAGAAGATTAACATGTTCATCGATGGGCTCAACTATGGTTTATGCTTTGCTATGGCCCAACAGGTTGCGACGGGTATGAGGTTTGACGAGGTGGTCGATATTTCTAGACGCTTAGAGCGGGTTCACAGGTAGGAGTGGGAGGAGAAGAAGGCCAAAGGCCTCGTAGTTCAGGTGGTTTTAGTAGTGCTTTATCTAGACGCTAATCCCAT